TTCATAGAATGTCTCGGGGGAATCGCCCCATCTTTTTAGTTTTTTATTTTCATTATTTCTTATGTATGCCAGGGGGGGTTACATCTTCTGCTTAAGTGAAAGTCCTGAGTTCGATTCCTGCTGCTGTCGAATTTTCTTTTCTTGCTTGTTCATTGTTTCTTTTTTTTTTTCTTAATTCTTTTCTTTTTTTCTTTTTTTTTCTTTTTTTTTTTTGCTAATTTGTTTGTTTCTAGAGATTTTGTCTTTCAACTTATAATATCGGCAAGAACTCGCAAGGAACGCCTGCTACAAGTGGATGGTTATTGATGAGAGGCCCCACAATGCCCTTCATCACAAAAAATAGGGGATGCTCAAAAAGTTAGGAKAAACCTCTCTCCCTCCCTTTCTTAGTTTCGCTTTTTCCACAGAAAAAATATGTTTGTTTTCATTTGTGCTTGATTTGCCTAGTAAATGTAAATTCTCGATGAAAACGTACATTTTTTGGAGGTTTTTCTTGCGGTACTTCTTGTTGAAGTTTGTTCGTTTTTTTGCAGTGGCTTCTGAGATTAACTACAATGTCCGTATTTCCCAATATTTTTGGAAAACTGAGTCTGCGTCACAGACAACTGAGCACACAACGGTGCTCCCTTGTTTGCTCCTTTATCAATCCCAAAATGCATTGCGTCACAAGGCTTTCCCGAGGAAGTAATAAGGAGTATGGAAATGAAGACGTGTTGAATTTGGATTCAGAAAGTCCAATCAAGAATCTTGGCTGCAGCTCAAAATCCACGTACACTGAACAATGAAGGCTTTTTGATTTGTGGTGAGAGGGCGGATCGGGGCATACTCCAGAAGATCACAGAAAATGCAGAAAATTTTCCAAAGTCGTTTGACAGGTTTGAGTGAACAGTATGCAGCGATATTCCCCACTAGACCATGAACAAGATAATCATTCACGTACTTCCGTGCAAATTTATTGACTTTTATCTCATTTCAAATTATTTGGTTATGGCTTAACGCACTTAATTTTCAAGAGTATGATAAACTTTTATAAGTTTATAAAAACAACACGTTCTAAGATAATTCACTGACAAGTTTATAGCAAATGGTAATACGATGCATTTACATCAAATGAAAGTAATGTATATACTTCATATACATCGGCAGAGTTTACAAAACTCTACGCAGTGGCGGATCTAGGATTTTCAAAAGGGGGTTCCACTTTGTTTTCGCATTTTCCTAAAACGAACTTCTTTACTGTGTCTCTCTTACTTATATATTGTAAGATATAAGCCAGCTTCATCCTTCAAATATGCAATTCTGTACGATGCGTTTTGGTTTTATTTCTTTTTATTTCATTTGTCATTTATTTTTTTATATATTTTTTTTATGCTCGAGGTGGGGTTCCTAGGAGCCCATGGAAACCCCCCATGGATCCGCCACTGCTAACATCGACTTTTTTGTCAAATATCGTAGTCTATTTATATATCTTATCAGTGATTTTATGCTAACTGTGCTAGATCAAGACAAACTGGTTAAACTGGACATGGAGTGATGCAGCATGTAGTGCTAGAGTTTACATTTAGAAGACGATAGAGTGACGTCATATAAAGATTTGGTCTTTAAAAGATCTTTAAAACTACTCAAATACAACATTACACGACTTTTGATACAMTGGAAAAAAACGCGCACTTAAAAGGTTGTAAATTTGATGTAAATATGATGTAAGTGTCCAGAATGATGTAAATTTGATGTAAATATGATGTAAGTGTCCAGAATGATGTAAATTATTTGATGTCAATCACTTGCATCATATTTACATCAAACTTTCAACCTTTAAAAGTACGYKATTTTTTCCAGTGATAGATGCTCAGATCGAGATGAAAAACTAATGACTAAGTTGCTGTTCTGTGGKTCTTTCACATAGTTCTTCATGTACTCTATGAATGCCTTCTCCCAAGCCTCAGCTTTGACATTTTTGCTTTCATCAATGTGATTGTTGACAACAAATGTGATAATCATGGCGTTGGCCATGTTGTATTCTGTGCCATKGAAACCTCCCAGAATAATGTTRGGGTTGACTGGAACACCGTTTTCACCCAGACACGGAGTACCACCAAACTTCTTATCAWAAATGGATGACGGGGCACTGCGTTAGTAAAATTTAGAAATCTATATTATTAGCAAGTCACAGGTAGAGTGCTCGCACTTAAAGCGTGAAACAAATAGTACTAATTACTACTAAATAGTGTTGATCATACAATAGGAAACAAAGGATTTTGTATAATTTATCACCTATTTTGTATAGTATTTATATTTCACGCATTTAGTGCGAGCACTCTATAACCATTTGAACTATGAAACACTTGAACTGGAGTGGAGACTAGGATTTGTAATTTGAATGTGAATAATTAATCCAGTTTCGATTTCTCTGTTGTGCAAGCCCACTAGCTTAAGCATCAATTTTCATTGCCTTTTCTGTACACATGTAATGCATGAATGTGTGCTTTACGACCGATCTTTGCTTATTAATGCTTTTCGAGGTTAAGGCTGCACAATAAGATCTCGAAACTGGAGTATTATATATAAACGTGTGTCTTATATTAGCTGATACGCGCGAATCAATTCATATGCATGTCAAACCCAGTTTAACATTACCCACCAGTGGTCTAAGATGTTACACCCTTTTTGGGGAAAAATTAAATTCTCGTACATGTTTTTTTTAACAAATAAATCATCTAAAATGAAAAATAACAGGATTAGCTCTTTTCCTAATTAATTCGATAACTTTAGTGGGAAATTTCTATTCGATACGTTCTCCAAACTAATCCGTCATGCAAATTTAATTTGCCGCCAAAAGTTCGGTGCCATTTTAGTCCCCCCCCCTCCCCTCTGGATCCGCCCCTGGTTTATCAGTTACTGATGCTAAAACATCGTCGTCTCACCTGGTACAGTAGCGAATGTGATCATGGAAGTCAGACATAAAGTTCTGCTCAGGGTGTTCACTGCAATCTTGTTCCATGTCTGTTAGACATTTATTCAGCTCTGTCTTGCTGTTTTGGAAGTATTGAAAGATACTCTGGATGACACATTTGTCATTGTAAGGAGAAAGAGGTTTAAAGCAGACATCTTCAAGTGTTATGCTGA